CCCAAGCATAGACATATAGAAAAGAGAACACTGCATGAAGGTGAAGGCAGAGATCTAGGCCATACAACCACAAACCAAGGAATATCAAAGGTTGCCCACAAACCACATGAATCTGGAGAAGAGGCCTGGACCAGTTTTTCCTTGCTGGTCTCAAAAAGAACTCTATGACATCTTGATCTTGGACTTCGAGCCTCCAGAACAGTGAGACAATACACTTCTGTATTCAAGTCACCCCATTTGTATTGATAAAAGTCACAGAGGCCCTAGGAAACTAATACATTTGCTTACATCTGTTCATCCAACTTTCTCCCCCCTTTAAATCCATCCCCAACTGAGGTGGTTCAAGAGGAGAGAAACAAGGCCCTTCCCTTTTTCCTTCCTTCCTTTTCCCTCATCTCTTCCTCTTCACTTTCTTCCTCCTTTTCAACAGTCTCTGATGCCTAGAACAGCCAGGCACAAGGTTCCTGTAGTCTTGTTACAATCATTGGTCAAGCTTTACATTCTTACTGGTTACAAGGGAGATGAGAAAATAGATGAGAGAAAAGACTGATTTTAGAAGACCATGTTGGGGCTGTCTGGAGAGGAAAAGGTGGCAAATAGTGAGATCCACATCCTTGAAGGTGTCCAAGTATAGGAAGTATAGGGATGCTGAATGAAATCCTGCTTAATTGGCTCTCTAAGAATGTTGAGAAATAGCTTTGCTGACTATAATCTTCCAGGATTGGCCTATTGATCAGTATTTTTGAATTCCAGTGTAGTAGAACCTCACTAGGTATCTCCCTCATGTAACTGTGAAAGATTGTGTGAGAGAGTAGGGTGTGTGTTTTGAGCAAGGGCTTGGTATAAAGTGCCAATTACTTTTCACCAGATAAGTCTCGATCGGCCTTTGTCAGAGCTCAATCTGCTTGTGAATTTGTCTGGAATACATCTTCAGCAGCACCATCTGTTAGTGATTGTTTGCCCATCTGACCATTTACTCTTTGTCAACACCCCCTCCTCTGGGCAACCTACTGCCAGATGGAGCCCACCCATTGTCCACCCTGGGTAAACTGAGTCTGAGCAGGTGCAGGACAGGAGAGTGAGGAGGAGGAGGGAGAGGTTCCAAATGTGCTGGCATTTTTAGCCAAGATGTGTCTGGGGAGGCCCCACCAAGCCTTCACACAGACCTGGGGAGAGACCATGTGGCCGAGCCAGAGCCATATTGTGCCCCAGGCAGTCTGAAGGCTCCACGAATAATATTGATGCCTTTTGTTTGGAAACTCTTTGTGGAGGCTTCCCATTTCCCAACCAACCACGCTAAATGCTGGGCCTCCCCCAAGCCACTTTGCCTTTTGCACAGTCCCGTGGCCAACTGCGCAGGCAGATGAGGGCCCCAGACCATGTGGCCGAGCCAGAGCCATATTGTGCCCCAGGCAGTCTGAAGGCTCCACGAATAATATTGATGCCTTTTGTTTGGAAACTCTTTGTGGAGGCTTCCCATTTCCCAACCAACCACGCTAAATGCTGGGCCTCCCCCAAGCCACTTTGCCTTTTGCACAGTCCCGTGGCCAACTGCGCAGGCAGATGAGGGCCCCCGAATGCTAATGAGGGGAAAGGCTGGCATTCCTTAGGGCACCCCGCCTC